TGTCACTAATAATAAAACTCAAGCTTTGAAGTAGAAATTAGAATTTTGAAAAATCTGTATTCTTCATTTTGAGTGTGACAGCTTCTTGTTATACACATTTCTGATGAGATTGGTGGTGACATTAACAAATGTGATTTTCTGATATTATGTAAGAAAATCTGTGTACTAAATGACCCATGTATTGATTATAAAATCATGCATGAATAAAAGATTCATTCAAAGCACAAAACAGAGTACAAAAATATTGCCATATTGCCATTAATTTATAAGGAACTACTATTTGCTGACTTTTGATGAAATGTCAAAGAAAACTACCTAAATAGACTATTAAAATACTTCTTCCTTTCCATATATATATTTAATATATATTATTTGCATGTATATATAAAATATTTGAAGCCAGGATTTCTTCTGACACCAATCAAAATGACATATTGCAAAAGACTGAATAGGAAAACATGAGAATCTAGCAATCTTCTTGCTTTGCACCTCAGTGAAACATTTACTCATGCCCTGAGGTAAACTACTTATACAAGTGGACAGCAGTGTTCTATGATCCCATCTAACATAGCTGGCTTACATTTACAGGCAGAATGAGGTTTTACCTCATGTATACTCCATGTAAAGCCGGGTAATGACGATCAGGAGCAGATACAGGACTCGAACTTTTCAAAGCCTTACTTCTTTCATCTTCACTCCTGATGCTATAAACCATGAAGCTCACCAACCCCACTCCTACCCAAATCTCTTACTTGGATATAGTAGGGTTCCATCAAAATACAATCATTTTTAATAATGCTTTGATGCATCTTGGCAACCATACAGGCCACACCAGAGCCCCACGGCCAAGCCACCTTCTTTTATGACAGACTTTGAAGAGACATGCAAAAATGTAAGACAACGCCTCTCACCTTACCTTTTGTTTTGAAATAATGCTTGTTTTTTTTTCAAAAATATGTTACCTATGATAATATGTAGTGCATTTATTTTTTGAATTGAATTAAAATGTAATTTTTTAAAACTTCCCAGTTTCACTTTCTAAAAACATGGGCAAATATTGATAGATGGAACCCACATAAACAAAAGTTCTTTGGAATCCAAAGGTTTGAGAGCTGCTGGCTTAAGGGAATATTTATAGACTCAAAATGCTCTCATTTTAATCCTTACAGATAGCTAAATATCTAGTTCATCAGTTTGATCTTATAGAAGCTTGTTTTTAGGCTTTATTTTGTGTATTTCAGTTTAACTTAATCCTAAGGCCTTTTCTTTTTCTTTTTTTTTTTTCTTTTCAGTACTTGGGTTTGAGCTCAGGGCTTCACACTTGCTAAGCAGGTACTCTACCACTTGAGCCACACCTCCAGCCCTTTTTGCTCTGGTTATTTTGGCTGGCCTACACTGCAATCCTCCTATTTTGTTTCCTGCTGTGACTGGGATGACAGATGCACACCACTGCACCCAGCTTTTTATCTTGAGATGAGGTCTCACAAACTTTTTTTTGCCTAGACTGGCCTAGAACTGCAATCCTTCTGATTTCAGCTTCCTACATAGCTTGAGATGATAGGCACACACCACCAAGCCCAGCTATTGTTTGAGATGGAGTCTTACTAACTTTTTGTCCAGGCTGGCCTCTAACCATGATCCTCAAAGTCTCAGCCTCACAAGTAGCCAGGATTACAGGCATGAGCCATAGGTGTCTAGCTTGTCTTTACTATTTTAAGGGGTGGTCCTTCTGGATTTTCAGTGGAAGTCTGAGCTTCTCACTGAGCCCATTTAACTTTACTGGACTTGACCTCCAAACTCTGCCTTCCAGCACTAATCAGCTGCTAAGCAGTCTGTCAACTCTTTTCTTCCCGCTTGGTTTCCGTCCTGGACTCTGTGGAGTCTCACTCTTTGTGTGCACAGCAGGGGTCAGTTAAGGATTTGAAGAGAACTTATAATCAGAATTGGGTCCTCCCCCCATGTCTTTACTCCTTTCCTATATCTTCTCCTTAATTCCCAGCTTCTCTGGCCGCCCTGACCTCCATTCTCTGAATTCTCAGCTCAATAACATTACAGCCTTCTGCTTAAGTTCCAAGTCCAGAACACCAAGCTATTGGATGAGTCTTAGGGTGAAAAGCCAACTAAATGTGGATTTGACCCAATGTGCTTCCATTCTTTCAGGGTCAGTGCTCTTCCAGTCTCTGCCTGCTTTTTGGTTGAGCTCCAGTGAGTTCAAACAACTTTTTTTCCTATGTTTTGTCGAGTTGTAATTGTTACCAGCAGGAGGGTTATAATGATATGAGGTACTGTGCCATTCAATGAAATAGAACTCTGGTCTCTTCCCATTTCTGGACTAAGATTAGCAAGGCTATGTCCTCATCCTTGGAGAGTCAGCAGAACCAATGCCAGGTCATTGAACAATGTGTCCTTCTCCGGCCATGCAGTGTTCTATGGATTATTTTCCTACCCAGAGAGTTTAATATCCTTGTACCCGGGTGTGTGCTTGTTTGTTGATTTATTTGAGGCGCTGTGGGTTGAACCCAAGGCATGTATTCTTCCACTGAGTGACACCCCCAGCCCGCTTGGGTCGTTTTGATGTTGGGTCAAATGCCATCATCAGACATTTCTTGTCTTACAAACTACCCGAGCCTCTTATCTAGCCTTTTGGATCCTACATTTACATTTTATGATTGACTCATGTCATTATGTATGCCTCATTCAAGAAGGCTTTATTTTTTACTATACTTCATCATTGTAGACTTATAGTTCTAGTTGACATTAATTAATATAATATTTTTCATGTTCATATTGTCACCACTTGAGTTTTTTCTTCAAGCTAACATATTCTTTCACTTTTCTTACTCTCTTAGATTGAAGTATAATTTCCCTACAATAAAATACAACCATTTAAAGGGTACAGTTAGATGTTTCTTGAAATGGATAAGCTCACATTTCTATGAAGAATATTTTAACACCCATGAATGTTCCTTTTGTGCCCCTTTTCAATCGACCCCTCCCACCACAGATTCAATAGCATTGTACTGATTTCTGTCTACTTTGAACTGTTCTCAAGTTTCATACAAATGGAATCATATGATATTTACTCCTTGGAGTCTGACTTTATTTCACTAAGGTAATAATTTTGAACTTCATCTATATTGTACATATCAGTAGTTTGTTGATTTTTATTTCTGAGTAGTATTCTGTCATACCAGCAGTATATGAGTACCAGTTGATACACTTCCTATCAACACTTGGTATTGTTATTTTTCTTTTATTTTAATCATTCTAATGATATCTTATTGTGGTTTTCATTTTCATTTCCCTGATAAGAAAGATGTTGAAGATGTGCTTAGGCCATTAATACATCTTTTTTTGAACTGTCTGATCAAGTCTTTTGCTAATTTTTGCTATTTGTATTTTATTATTGATTTTAGGGGCTCTCTATGTAAAGGAAATGAAATTAGCATGTCAAAGAGACACCTGTACTGCCTTGTATATTGCAGCATTAGCATTATTCACAATAGCCAAGATATAGAATCAACCTAAGTGTCATTAACAGATGAACAGACATCTTTTTTTTTTTTTTGGTGCTGGGATCGAACCCAGGGCCTTCCGCATGCTAAGCAAGCGCTGTACCACCAAGCTACATCCCAGCCATGAACAGACATCTTTATTTTCTACAATATTCCCTGTTATCTATGAAAACATTCTTGCCTTCTAACAGCAAGATGTCTCAGGCTTCTATTGAGTTTTCCTGCCCCACACATAGAACCAACTACTGTCTAAGAAATCATAGAACTAACTACTGTCTACGAAATCCTGTCTCATCCTTGTAGAGCTCATGATAATTCCTGTTTTACCTGTGCTAGACCCCAAGGCAAGAAGAGCTGGACCCAGCTCCCCTCTGTGTTATGACAGATTACACAGGATTCACCATGAAGGTCAGTTCTGGTAACCAAGCAATTGCATTCTGTAAATAAAAACTTCAAAGCCTGTTAAGTTCTCCATGCTTCTTGTGTCTATAATACTCCAGTTAAATAGGCATGAGCTGTTAAGCAATCCCCTCACTAGTCTCCTGTTGTTTTCTCATTCTCATACTGCTCTTAGTGTTCCCCTAGGCCTCATGGAAAAAGTCCTCCCTACAGGACTTGGTGCAAAGCCAGTGCATTAAAGTCACTGTAGGGAATTGCACTCAAAGACTCAGCACCTCCTCACCACTTGCCCTGGCCAATCATGGTCTTTCATATACAGACTCCATGAGGCGATTGGTTCTAGAACCCCCGAGGACACAAAACCTGCCCTTACATAAAATGGTACAGTATTTGCCTATAACCTATGCACATCCTCCCATACACTTCAAATCATCTCTAGATTACTTTTAGTATCTCATACAAGGCGAACACTATGTAAATAGTTGCTATACTGCATTGTTTGGGGAGTGATGAAAAGAAAAACGTTGACCTCAGATGCTGTCTTCCAGATGTGGAAGGAGGGCGAAATATACTTGCATTCTTGCCTCTGGTGCTTCTTAGCTTCTTTATCTGAGGTTTGGCCAAGAGTCTTCTTCAGGTACCTCTGCTGGCATCTCCTTGTGGAAGTGGGAAAGATTTTGAGGACACTGCTCCCAATTCTACCTCATACTTAGTACTACTATTCTACTCCTAGCCCTCTGTCTGACTCCGGGTCCTTTTGTTTGGGGCTCCCTCAACAGGGAGATGATCCACGTCTGCAATGGTCCAGCTGACTCTCAACCAGTGCACTGTCCCATGGGGAGAAATTGAACAAGGGGGGTCACCACTTTCTACAGTGGTGACTTAAACCACTGAGGTAAGTGATTAAAGGCTTACCTCTTTCATTTTTGATTTGTTGTGTTAACTCCACTGCCTGAGAGCTTAGTTCTCTCCCAGCTCAGTTGAGCTTCTGAAAAAACTATATTTTTCCATTTCTAAAACACCACAAAGAATCATTGACCACAGTGAACAAGTAGACTAGTACTTGATAAACAAAGTGAATTCATGTTTGCTCCAAAATGTTTTATTAACAAAAGTTTTTTATAAACAATAAAATAGAAGGAAGTTATGTGTCACACTGAATAACATGTTGAAAGCATGTATATGTTTGTGGTTTCTAATTTCTTTACAAAAAATTAACCACCCACAATGGAGTAAAGAGAGTAGTTAGTAAATATATTCATATAATTTTTGAAACATTTAAAGTAAAAAAAAGCATTTTGCCAATTCCCAAGAGCAAAGAAAGTGCATAATAAAATAGACTTTAAAAAATTACAAATAAAATCTGTACATCGAGGATATTTTTAAGGCCTTCCCATGTGCACTGCACTATGTAGAAAAGAGAAGAGGAACCACTGAGAAAAGAACATCGCATCAGGTGCTACAGGTCTGGCCCATTTCGGCTTGCAGGATCATCTCCTCTTTTCTCAAGGGGAAAGTGTCAATCAGGTTGAAGAGGGCCATGGGTGTCACCAGGGAGACGTAGCGTTCCTTATCCATGCCATGTTTATCCACTAGCACCATACTGAAGGAGTAAAGTGGGATTCGCAGCAAGAGCCTGAGACAAGCAAAGAAGAGAAGGCTATGTCAAACTCCAACTCCCAAGAGTTCTGTAGGTCAACCAGAGGCCTATAGTGACACTGTGTGCATAGAAGGCTTGATACCATGAAGGACTGAATCACCCTTTAGACCTTTGCTACTCAAAGTGTGGTCCCTTGAGCCAGCCACACCATATGAGAACTGGTTCAGAATGGAGTCTTACATCTCACCCCAAACCTTCCAAATTAGAATTTCCATCCTTAGCAAGATCCCCAGATGACTGGCTTGCACATCAAAGACTAAGGAGCTCTTCTTTAGACTATGGTCAGGACATCGGGCTTGCAATGGCGCCATGCACTGGTAGTTGCTCCAAGGCATATACAACAAGGCTAACAGATTTGAAGGACCCTGAATTGGAGTCTGTGGACCAGTTTTGCATAACCACATACATACTAGGGCTATATCAGTGGTTATCAGCAGTTGTGATTTGCCTTCTCAGGGAACATTTGGTCATGTCTGGACACATTTTTGGCCATTACAACGGGGAGTGGAGATGCTACTGGCATCTAGTGGGTAGATGTCAGCGTTGCTGTTAAGCATCCTACAATGCAGAAGACAACTCCTCATCAAACAAATCCAGCCCCAAATGTCAAAACGGCCAAGGCTGAGGACCCCTGAACAAAGTTGAGTAATTGAAATACCTTTCCAAGCATTACAGTTATGGCCTGTTTGGTGGCCAGCTCAGGACTGCATAGTTAGAAGGGAATGAGCTTGGTCTACACCATAGGTATCCTGACTCGGTTACTGTAATTTGTACTCCAAATGTTACCAAAAAATAATTTGACATGGTTTCAAGTGCCTGATGTTCTTTCTACTCTACTACACTAGAATTTAATCTGCAGATGTTGTATTCATTTTTAAAAGTTTTTATTAGCATAAATTAATTATACAAAGGGGTTTCATTATGATTTATAACATGCATACTTTGGTCAAATTCACCCCATCTATATTACTCTTTCTTAATCACCCTCTCTTGCCCCCTCCTTTTTGATAGTTTTGGTGGATTTCACTGTACTATTTTCAGACATATAATAATGTACTTCTATAATATTTACACCCTATCATTCTCTCCTCTCTCTTCTCCTACCCACCTATTCCACCCCAACTGTCCTATGTAGATGATTTATATTAATACCAACATGTTTAGACGAGAAAAGCCAGAGAAGGTAAACAAACAGATAAGCTGAGCCCAGTCAATTAATGAGCCTACTCAGTCTCCTCTCCTGTTGTGTTTTGTTTAGTTTTTTCAGTTGAGAATTCTTGAGATTGTGTGTGAGGCAGAATATGTACTCCATCTGGATTTAAAGTGAAATATTTTTTCCTCATACAGAAGGATCAAAGTTTTTTTTTAAATCATTATTTAAGATGCCAAGTGACTTAACACTGTTTTTTTGTTTTTGGTCTTTTTTTTTTTTTGCCTTTTAAGAGGGAATTTCAGGGAAGATAGGGAAATTTTATATTTTATCCCAGTGGGAGGCTAAATTGCTAAACCATTTCTGGTGACTAGAAATGAAGGAAATGTGACATCACAGTGACATCACACTGCTTCCATCAGGTGTTCTGTGGCACTAAGAGGAGACCTAAAGAGTAGGTGACTTAGCAAAGTGCATTAAAGAGTTTGAACACGTGAATGTAGACCATGCAAGCGAGTAAGGTGTAAGTAAATAATGTGGGAAAGAAAAGCTAAATTGTTCTGTATCTTTAAGAGGAGGAGAACTAAGTTTCTGGGGAAGTCTAAAGCTGGGGGGTAGGGTGGGGAAGAGTCCCAGGAAAAGAGAGAAGTGGGAAAGTAAGCAGATCTATAGGCAGTAAAGGGCCAAGTAATATGGTGGCTGGAGGCTGTGGGGAAGGGTGACCAATGAGGCATTGTAGCCTTTGGTTTAATAGTGCTTATGAGGCCAGGATGGTGCCACTACATGCCCTCCTTGTGTGAGCCTTGTGCCTTGACTGACACAGAATATAAACAGGAAAGACTGTCATGGAAAGGAATGAATTGTTGGATCAGCAGGCCACCAATGGCCACAGGAATACATCCCACTGGGGCAGAGAGACCACAGGGATCTTGGGGATGGATTATCAGACACCTCACAGATCATGAGATGAGGGGCAGGGCCAGCAGCATGTCAGAGTTACACAACTGGCTGTTCTAAGATTAGAAGGAGTTCTTCCTAGACAATCTTCTAAGGAACTCTGTAGACTCAAACAATATTGCCAGTATTAAACTTACAGTTTTCTTGGTCCCTATCATCTTTGGGATTGGCAGAAAATTTCTCTGGGGTGTATGACTTAACCCATACATCAAATCTAAAAGGCAAGAAGGGCAAGAAGGAAAATCTAAAAGGGCAAGAAGGAAAGCAGACAATGACTTTATAACACCAGGAAGGCAATCAGTCTCCTCTTTCTAATTATTCCCTTTAATAGTTTTACCATGGCCTCAATGCTATTTAAAAATAGCATTCTAACCAGACAAGAGAATTTTCAAGTTATCCAGGCATTCTGCTTCTCCTTTTCTTCTTTCCTGCTTTTCATTCTTTGCCTACAATCATCCCTTTTCCTCTGTGCTAGACAGTAGGCTGGAATTCAAAGGAGAAAAGAACGCATCATCCATCTTCCAAGTTCTGTGTTCCTCACTGACATGTCTGATAAAGGGGGCTATGCATCCTGAAATCGAATCCACCTGAGTGACCATCTCTGTGTGGTGTTTACCTGGACTGTCTTCTAGCTACATAATCAAGACTGACTCTCTCCTTAAAAGTTGCTTGGCAAAATTTCTGTTTTAAAACTGATGCCTCTTGTAAAAAACCAGGCTAATGAGTGTCATGGTATGGTGCTTGGGAACTTGCTAGAGATGTAAGTTCTAGGTCTCCACCCTAGGCCTACTAAATCCTAAACTGCAGGGATAAAGCACAGCACTAGGTGTCTCAACAAGCCCCCAGGGCTAAAGTTTGAGAAACACTGCATAATTCATTTAAGCAACTTTTGTTTTTAAATTAAATCATTCTCAGCCTACAGATGTCTATAGTAGCCCCAATATTTATAACCTGAATAATAGTTTTTTTAATCAGATTTTTCTGTTTCTCAAGTTTAAATAGTTTAAAATCACATCAAGATTTTATGATTGTATATATGTACATAGCATGTGTATACACACATTATACATGTACAAATGTATATATATATATACATATACATGTATATATATATATATATATACATATACATGTATATATATATATATATATATATATATGTATATATATATATATACATGTATATCTGCCATCCAAAGAAGACCACTTGGCAAATTCTGCAACAAGTTTTCAAAAACTCATTGACACAGGGTATGAGCAACATACCCTGTTGTTGGTAAATAAACAACTTCATAAAGCCTACTTTAAGAATTTAAAACTAATTTTTTTGATATCAACAATAATCCTCTGTCTTGAGTTTTTCAGGCTTCAATTTGAGTGTTAGTAATTCTACATACCTTCATAAAGCCTACAGTTATCCCTGGAAAAAGTAAAGCCTTTTCAATGGAATGTAGAGTCATTTACTCCACCTATCACTTACCACCCCACTTACCTGGTACCAACGTAGTACCACGCGCCATGTTAGGTACTGAGTAGCAAATATTGGGAAAAAATATGGTGCTGACCTCAAGTGGTACACTTTGATGTGGTACTAGATGCAAATGTAGTAGGATAAAAAATATGAACGCTTATGCATGGTGTCCAGCCTTCTCTCATCATCAGTCATCCCTAAGGCTCTGAGCTTTTGGCCTTGGTGGGCCTGGGGAAGACTATTTCTGGTTAGAAAGTGATATAAATCAAATATAGAATGGGTCAAAGGCAGCTGGAAAATAGGAAAATTATATGAAGAAGCTACTATGTTAATGTTTTTATCATATAATCTCTCAAGGAATATCTGTGAACTTCTCTAAACACCTGTGAACAGGGTTCTCTAAATACCATTTTATTGTCTTCCTGGGAATACAGGTTACATTTCCCAGCCTCCCTTGAAGCTCAATTGCAATCATGTGACTAGTTCTGGCCAATGGACTGGGAGAGGTGAAGCATAAAAGAGTGGGTGTGAGCTATAGTATTGATGCTGAATGCCCTCCAAAAGCCCATGTGTTAAAGTCTTTGTTTCTGGGGTGGCATAATTGGGAGGTGGTGGACCCTTTGAGAGGTGAGGCCTTGTGTATGGTCTTTACATATGTTTAGTGGAATTTCCTCCAATGGGATCATAGGACTCTAGTCTTTCAGTCTCTCTTTGAATCCAGGCTCTTGATGTAAGTGATTTGCTCTGCCATGTGTTTCCTCTATATGTGCCACCCTCACCAAAGACCCAAGGCACTGGGTCTGCCTGATATCCAACTTAAACCTTCAAAATCATGAGCTAAATAAATCTTTTCACTTTATAAGTTAATTGCCTCAGGTATTTCATTATAATAGCAAGAAGCTGACCAATAGAATGCAGTTTGTTTTTACTTTCTTTCTTCCCCCTTTGTAGAAACCTGGAAGCATGTGTTCAGGGTGTTACTCTACAAGATGGTATAGCCATCTGGGATTCTGAAAGAAAGGGAGCTTCTGAGACCCTGAGAACAGAGATCTGTACTTTCCTCTGCAGTGTGAGAGGGAGAAAAAAGTTAGGCAAGACAAGAAGATTTTAAGGAATATTACTTTAGCCTAATTATCCATTTCACAATAATCAAGAGATACAAGTAAAATTTCAAGTTACTCTGAGATTACCTTTTAGCTGTTGAATTCTGCTTCTTTAACTAACACATCATTACTCTGTCTGAACACTATGGCTCTAGCTTTATAAGTGTGACCAAAATAAAATATAATTGTTAAAATAGGAGTATGGACAAATGCTCTGGAAGCATGGAGGAAAAAGAGGCCAAGCTTGGAAAGGCTAATTGGATGCCTGCCTTCCTAATAAGAACCAGGATTGCTTAGGTCCTTTTTATTCAGCTCCTCCTCCCTTACCAACTCAAAACACACACATACACACACACAAACACACACACACACACACACACACACACACACATACACAGGTGCGGTGGGGGAAAAGCAAATATACTTGGTTAGAGGAGAAAGAAGAGAACAGTGGTAATTATCCACTGCATAATTTACTTGGTCAAGCAGCAACATGCCAATTGGCTTGGTTATAATACACCCAGAATAAAAGCAATTAAACACTGAAGGCTGCCTGAACTCAGTACTGAACAGAAATAAATCAGGGAACCTGGTCAGATACAAGTGCATTCAGAGGGGATCGAATTTAAGGAGAGAACATTTTCCTACCTGAGCTGCAGAGCTAGGGCAGGAGGCATAATCTTTGCTCTGATTCTGCCGATGAGGGTTGGGAAAACACCCACTAGCTCCACCACCGTGATGTGTCGAAGATCCAGGCCACACTGTGCTTGCTGTGGGGAGGGAACCAACAAAGGTGCTGTGAGTATGGCTTAGGAAAGAGATCTCCGTGTCAACCTGCAGACCGACAGACAGAAGCAGCAATGGTTTGTTTGTTTGCATATGTTTCTTTGCCCACTCCAAACTGCCCTGAAAACAACTGAGAATTTGGGTTAAACTAGTGACTATAAAACCTAAATACCTTCCTAGAGGAATCATTAAGAAATGGCTTGGCAATGGGACTTTAAAAACCTAAGCAAAATGGCAGTCTATGGTATTTCCAGATGGGGTGAGACCTTGCATGAGTCAGATTTCCTAAAAAGTGTCCAAGACCACCCCAGAGGACTCTTTGCAAGGAGAGAAGAATATTTTCCAGAGTCCCCTTCTCTGCCATTGCTTCCAACATCCACATCCCTCTGCCCTATGCCGCCCATATCCAAACCCAGGAAAATAAAGATAAAAGGTTCCAGCACTCTGAGCTGGCCCTTGGCAAGAACATCAGGCATGTGACTCAGTTAGCCATGTGGCAGGAGATCTCACCAGGAAGGAAAGCGGAGATAAGGAACAAAAAAAATAAATAACTGAAAATGAGTAAGACTAATCATGCTAAATGGAAAAGGAAAATTTAAAACCCTGAATTATTAGAACACCAAATAGGTTGGATGTGGTGGTGCCTACCTATAATCCCAGCACTCAAGAGGCTCAGGCAGGAGGATCATGAGTTCTAGGGCATCCTGGGCTACATCGTTAGACCCAGTCTCAAAAAAAAAAAAATCCACCAAATGACTTTTATCACAATTCCCTAAAACATTCCTGTCTAGAGTGACGGAGTGAGTAAGAAAGTTAGAAAAGATTAGCAACACATGTTTCTATTATTCTAACTGAAATGCCTAAGTCAATCAAACCTTTCTTGAAGGCTCTGATTAAAATGCAAATACGAGTATTGTTGGAGGAGGAGGTCACAAACAAAAGCATCTTGATCCAAAACATATCCAGCCGGGCACCGGTGGCTCATATCTGTAATACTAGCTTCTTAGGAGGCAGAGATCAGGAGGATCTCAGTTTAAAGCCAGTCCAGGCAAACAGTTTGAGAGACCCTATCCTGAAAATACCCAACACACACAACACAAAAAAGGGTTGGCAGAATAGCTCAAGTAGCAGGGTATGAGGCCCTGAGTTCAATCTAGCATCTGAAGGAAAAGGGACAACTTGGGCAGAGGGTGGCTAATTTTTCTGCAAAGGAGCCAGATAGTAAATATTGGTCCTCTACAGGCTGATTGGCATCTATCTTAAGTACTCAACTCTTCCATTATAAATGCAAAAGCAGCCTAAATAATGCACAAATGGATGAATGTGACTGTGTCCAACAAAACCCAGCAATGGTCCTAATAGGGCCCACGGGCCATAGTTCCCTGATTTAGAGGAAAAGTGCATTATTTGGCTTGGCTTATTTGTATGGACTAAAAAGAGGCCAAGGAATTTATGACCATGCCATGTTGCAATGCTGATTTCCTACAAATAGAGAAGAGTAATCTTGTGTTTTCTGAAGAGCAAACCCCTGAGACAAGGGGAGACAAGGGGATGTAAGGTGGCAGGAATTAGGAGTACAGATGTAAAAAATTGGTACCTATCAAGATGGCTCGAAATTTTTTCACATGTCTCTTCCGAGTGAGTTCAGGGCAGTTTGTCAAGTGCATGGGAATAATGAAGAAAGGTTTATTCATTGTAGTAATGCTGACATGAGTAGTAAATTATAGCCTTTGATTTAACAAACATTATCCTAAATACTTCTAGTCACAATAATAAATGAATGAAATATTCTCAAACATATGTGTAGCATAACCTGCCTCTTTAGCTTTCATTCGGGCTGGCCAATCTTACTGCAAACCACCGTCAGGACAAAATCGAGCAATTTCTAGTTTGATCTTTACAGTTTCTAGCCCCGCCTCAAGATGCTGGTTGCCTTGTTTAGTAGCTACAAAATTTACACAGCTGAGCAGCTCATTTCTTGGAAAAGTGCTCCTCAAAGTTGAAAGTGTTTGAAAATCCCCTGGCTGTCTTATTAGACTATAGATTCTGATGCAATAGGTCTTGTGAGAGGACTAAGAATTTGCAGTCCAACAAGCTCTCAGAAACTGCTTTTGCTGAAAAGGCACTGACTCTTTCCTTGCCTGGGCGCACAAATTAACTGAAAACAGGATAAAAGCTTGACATCCTTGCCTCCATTTTGCATCTGTCTCCTTTACTCTTAGTCTCTCTCTCTCTCTCTCTCTCTCCCCTTAGGATTCAGGAAGGAAAGAAATGATTGATAATATCTTTACCATGAGGGATGGAAACTACCCCCAAGGAAAGCCACAGCAGAGCCTCTGCAGAACTCACTCCCTAGAAAACAATCACTTTCTTATCAGGACTAGATTGTTTCCCTCGAGTGATGACAGCCATAAGCCGTACCAACTTCTCAGAATCCCCTCAATAGTGATCAACCAGGCCATATTTTGCCTGGGATTGTTTAATAAATATGCACACCTCTACCCCCTGCATTGATTCCTCCTCTATTTAAACGGGACGCTCATGTCTGTACTCCAAAAATGGGCCGAAGTGCTTACTTTGCCTCCTCCTGCAGTGTGTCTGTGTTGCAGAAAGAAAAAAAATCTCCTTTCTTTGTCTCTTTATTTGGTGTACTGGGGTAAGTAGCTGAGCCTGACATGTGGAAACCCTGGAGTTACATCCGGGTCCTAGAACTCCAGGTCACAATGCTGATACTCCTGGTCCACTGATCACATTTGGAGACTGGTCACTCTCTGAGGGGCTCCCTGAGGGTGGGCGAAATTCCCTTGGGAAGCTTGTGGCGCATGAGGGCTCCTGGACTCCTCGCATCTCCTGGGCCAGCCTTTTGGGTAGACCACTAATTGATCACCTCCAGCCTAGGCATATCCTGGATGGGTTCAGCAAAGACAATTGTTCTTTGGCTGGACTTGGACAGTGTGTCAATTAGGCTTATTAGCGAAGACAGACAAACCTCGTTAATTGGGAAATGATTGGGTTAACTCTGAGGGGGGGGTCAATGCTAACTGGGTTATACTCCAGCCCCAGAAATGAATGGGTAGCTCTAAAGTGCTGGGTTCTGCAGTTTACCCTAAATGGATTAGGCACTGAATCTGGCCTTTGCTTTTGGTGAAATGCCTGAATGCTTCCTGTTAGAGGCCTCTCACTCACCTCGGTCCCTACCTCAAGGACTCACCTGCAGCATTCCTAGCTGCAGTCGATAGAGGAGGTTTCTGGCTGTGGGTGTGGACACAATGAGGAGTCTCCTTTTCTCATAAAACTGATCCAGAAGTGCAGCTGCTGTTCTGACGCCCACATTGACATTCATAGCTGTAATTAGAAATGGTTGCATGGGTCACAAACCCTGTACATGTTCTGGCTCAAAAGAGCTTATGGTGACACACAGAGCCACATGTGTGGGAAGCAGACCCTGAGATGAGGCTGTGAATGTAAGTATTTTATTTGGAAAGTGGTCTCAAGAGGAGTAGAAGAATGGGAAATTGTATTACAAATCACCTTAAACTTAGGGCCTATCATAACACAAATGTATTCTCTTCAGTCCTAGAGGTCAGAAATCTTTTTGGTTTCACTGAGCTAAAATCAAGGTGTCAGTAAGCTGTGTTCTACAGGAGAATCGGAATCTATTTCCATGTCTTTTTCAGCATCTAGAGACCCACATTCATTCCTTGACTCATGAGCCCGTCCTCCATCTGCAAAGACAGCAGTGTAGCATCTTCTGATCTGTCTTCTCTGTGCTCTCTTTCTGACTCAGCAGTCCTGACTGCCTTCTAGAAGCACCCTTGTGATCACATTCAGCTTATTGGATAATCTGGATATTCTCCCTATCTTAAAACTCCTCACTTAATCACATCTGCTCTGCAAAGTTCCTTTTTTGCCATAAAAGGTAATGTATCCACAGCTTTGGGGGATTAGGATGTGGACATCTTTGGGGAGGTCATTATTCTACCTCCTTCTGGAAATAAGACAGGGAAGGACATGAAGCACTATAGAGTGGATTATCAAGCAAGTCATTGCTGCATGCATCTGGAGCTCGATCCCACTGAGGAACTCAGGGAAGTAGTATGCCATATACCTCAGAGTTATCCCACTCGAGGAATGAGAGACCTTGAGTATTTAAACACCAGCTGCTCCATTACTGATTGATGGCTGCTTCAGGGGACACTAAATTCTCTGTCACTTCCAGGTGGCCTTATGCATGGGCTGATAATGCCTTCATAGCCAGGGAAAAGCCCTTAGAGAATCCCAGGTAATTGTAGTAAGTAGCTTTCTGAACACACATGAGAATGTCAAAGACAAATGGTCAAGCACCACTGTATCTTCTGAGGAGAGGAGAACAGGGAAGCACAAGGGTGGGAGATAGGCAATGATAAGCTGGCTTTGGAATGATTCAGAATCTTCAAAGTCTGCCTCCTTGATGTGAAAGGGATGAGGAAATTCCATGTATGGTTTATCTAAAGCTCACAGCTCACATTTTAAGCTTTAGATTTGCATTGAAGGGTTTGCTCATTTGACATTCATCCATCAGCCAGCACACAGTGAATTCGCGCTATGCACCAACCTCTATGCCAAGCACTGGAGTACTGCACTGAGTGAGTTCATGCCCCTTTCCTTGTCTCAGTGGCTCGAACTCTAGAGCAGTCTGCTTAATAGAAAATATAGTGGAAGACACTGCAATTTTAAATTTTCTAGTAGGCCAATTTAAAAAGTACAAAGAAATAGGTGAAAATAACTTTATGATATATTTTTTCTAATCTAACATATCTAAAATACTTCAATCACGCACTCATTATAAAAATTGGGATATTTTACATTCTTTTCGTTTGGTTTTTTACTTTAGAGACGGGGTCTCACTGTGTACTCCAGGCTGGCCTTAACTCACTATTTAGCCCAGGTTGGCATCAAACTCCAAATACTCCTGCCTCAGCTTCCTGAGTGCTGGGATTATACATAATATATAATAGATATTACCACCATGCTTGTCTGATAGTTGGTATTCTTTATTATGCTAAGATTTTGACATTGGTGTGCATTTTGCACTTATAGCACATCTTGATTCAGACTAGCATCATTTCAAGTGCTCCAGTGCCACATGTGGTTAGTGACTACTATATTGGACCACACAGACCTATGAGCTCATTAAACACCACACCCTGGGCCTCAATGCCAGCATGAAGAGCATGAAGCCCTTAACTGGGGAATCTGGGACAGGCATGTTCTTTCTGCTTTGATGTATGATATTAAAGAGCTTCAGGAATTTAGCTGATGGTGTGTGTCTCACTCCCACCTACTCTGAGTGGTTAGGATTAAAAGGGAAGGATAAAGATAAAAATGGTACTAGGAAATGAGAAAAAGGGAAGTATTATAAATAATGGAGGTGTCTAGAATTTTCTAGGTAGTCTAGATTTCACACTAATATGGATACTTAGCCAAACTGTTGCTCATCATTACCACAGCTGACATACACTGAGGGCTTACCCTGTGTCAGGCACTGTTTCATGAATGGCCTCATTTGATCCTTACAACAGCGCAAAAGGTAAATGAGGTAATATTTTCCTTGTTTTACATAAGAGGAAAGATTCCAAATGTCCAGAGATTGCATGACTTTGAAGACAGTGCTGCAAAGCAGGTACTACATTTTCTAAACACAGCAGTATACTGGGTTTGTACACAACATCCTACATTTGCAAAAGGGAGGAATTAGACCATCATTTTCTGATTCATGATGTCACCAAAGATTGGCCCTGGGTTCCTATCTTCAGCTTCTTCCTTAGAAGACTTGAAAGGTAAATCAGAGGACAGGCAGAAGAAAAAAAAAAGGCAGCCGAGATGTGATGCAGCAGAGAATTAGGGACTTCTCTCATTCACTCAGATGAAGAGGGATGGAAATGAATGTTGCAAAGCACATGAAATGAAGCCACCTTTTCCTGTACTGGAATTTAGAACCTGGGGAAGGGTCTTCATTCTTCATGTTCTGCTGCTAGCTGAAGAGAGGGCCACACACATACCTGCACAGGTGGGCTCTGTGCCAGACCAAGCCAGGTTGGATTGACATACTCGAGCAGGGCTACCCTGGAGCTCGTAGCCACCGATGCAGGAGAACTCACAGGTAGCTCCATAATTGTCGCCATCACTGGAGCACTTCATGTAACCATTCTCTGGAGCGTTGAGCTTGCCACAGCGTCTGACTGTAGGACACAAGCCCAGAGAAGCCTCAGTGCTGAGTTCCCTTCCATAGAGTACCCAGGAAAGGTGAGGCCCCAGAACCCCAGACTTGCAATGAGGCTTCTACATGAACCCATGAAATGAGTGAGGGGGCATGGATGACAATTTGGTTGGTGATGGACTTTGAAATGGTCACTATTCATACCAATGTGACCCCTGAGAGCAACTGTTTTAGTTGATTAAGTCCAGAAGAGTAAAAAATAAAGATGATTAGTAACTACCTGCTCAAACAGTGACGTACAAAATAATCCTTACCAACATTTTTTTTCTGGTGGACCAAAGGTCTGAAACACCAAAAACATGGTCTCCTGGTGACCCAAACCTGAGTGCTCCTAACCAGCCTGGTTATAGAAAAGACTTGCAGAGTTTAGCTGGTCACCCAAGTTCAGGGATGCAAAAGTTACCAAGTAAGTAATTTTCTGTTCGGACATCCAGCTGTGGGCGCCTGTGAGACTACCTCCTATGAAACTTCCTACATCATAGCCAGCACTGAACCTCACCGCTGAAATTCAGTCAGTTAAGGTGGGCACCTTCCCCAGCCTCATCAAAGGCTAATCTAAAGCTAGCAAGTGTCCCTATCGCAAGGGGCATTCAGAGAACTCTTGCTGTTCTCTGTTCCCTTTGCTTTTCTAGATGTGGGTGGGGAGGAGCCCATAAATGGTACTTTTTTTTTTTTGGTGGGACTGGGGTTTGAACTCAGGGACTTATACTTGCTAGACAGATGCTCTACCACTTGAGCCACTCTGCCAGCTCCATAAGTGGTACTCTTACCTCTTACTTTAACTCGAAATTTGCAAGTGCCCTTGTTCTCAGCTCTGTCATAGACTGTGTACTCGATCTTGTGGTCTCCTTCCGGAAAATTTGAGCCCGGAGGAAGACCTTTTAGAGTAACACTTAGAGAAAAACAAAAACACAAAAGATTATTCTTATCCATCTAAAAAGCATTCATTGAGACCCCACTCTACACACGATGCAGAGATACTAAAAGGCAGCCACTGGACCAGTTTGACCCGAACAAAGATGTTAGGAGGAGTAGAATCTCCTGCGCTTTACTCTGTTTCATAAGAGCAAATTGAGACCTAAAAGTGGAAGTCCTCAACTACTGGGAAGTTTAGATTATCTTTTTACTGCCTGAGGAGAACAGAGGGCAGGGGCCCAAGTCTTCCTCCAATCCCACCCTTGTTTGAGGGTGGACCTGAATTGCCTCACTATTGGGAGAACAAGGGAATTTTCAAGAGTGTAGTCCAAGTAATCCTAGGAGAAATGCCAGGGAAGCAAGAAGTCCAAGTTCAGTCTTCTCTGAACTCTTAATGCTACTGTAGTGCCTTCCCTGAAGCACCCAGCTTCAGGCTTGTGTGGGCTCTGTCTAGGCTGTAGAACTCTGAAGGCAGACAGCTGTGCTGAACAGAGGGGCAGCGGGCTACGGAAATGCTCTTTTAAATGTCACATTTCTAACCATTACACAAAAATGCCATGGTGAATATCTTTGCAAAGCTTTCAGACAAATAGGGTTATCTGTGACTTAATATTTTGTGTTTATTATACAGGATTTCTTTTTCTTTTTTGCAGGAAGAGTTAAGACAGGGTCTCACTATGTAGCTCAGGCTGGCCTCAAAGTCATGATTCTCCTTTATTCACTTTATTATACATGATTTCACAGTTGCAAAAGTCTAAGAATCTACTATGTGCCAGGAGCTGTGCCAAGCATCTTACTAGACCATGAAGAGTCAAAGACAAAGAAAACCCAATCCCCAATTATGTCAACTGTGACTTGAATTTTACAAAAATTTCTCTGTGTGTGTGTGTGTGTGTGTATGCTTACTTTTTAAGTCCCAATCACCTAAGTTTCTCCTAAGGTGTTTGTGACGTGTGTGTGACAGCAAGTAAAATTTGTAATGATCAAGCTTTATCTTTAAGAAGTTACAATGAGAAAACAACTAATACTATTATTTAAACAAAATCTAGATGATGCACCGGGGGAAGATTATCGGGATGTAAGAAGAAAATCTCAATTTCCTCTTATTAGGAGATGTTCTGTTACTGGTAATAATTGTGTAAAAATGTTTTGTCTTGCACAGCCTGGGTTGATGGGATTCTAGAAAATCTTTGCTTTGAGGGTCATCAGTCGGAGGCATCCTACTGTCCACGGATGGGAACTCTGTGGGGAGGTCTAATTGTGCCATTAAGGCACAGATGTGAGCACACTGACATGAGCTAGTGACCTCCAGGGAACATGCTGCCAGGGTACAGATCCAAATGATAGATTATAACACGCGTGGCCGAACTTCACCAAAGACAGCCACCCATCTTTGAAAGCATCTCAAGAAATGGTAACTTATGAATGAAATGAGCCCTGCAGAATGGGATTGGGGTAGGGAATAAGGCAGAGGACAGTTCCACTTTGCTCATAAGCTTCTGAGAGTGTTTGATGTGGTCAAAAGTTTAAAAACAAATTAAAAATCAAAAGTTTTGAAAGAAACAGGTGCAGCTAAAAAAAGGGGAGGCAGAGCTCTGCCTCTAAACTATTCTCACAGGACACAAGGGGGCAGTGCTGGTCTGCACCAAAGAGACACAGAGCTTTCCTAGTGGAAGTGATGTCTTAAGGCCTGGGGACATGAGGAAGAGTCCTCTGAGCAGGCAATGGGAGAGATTCTACCCAGATGGCTTCTTCTTTCTCTCTCTGTTCCTCCTCTCCTTCCTTCCACCCCTTCTTACTTCCTTTCCCTCCTTCAATAAATACTTACTGAATGCTAACTATGTGCCAGGCACAGTTATGACCTTTAGGAATATGACAGTGAACATATTGTAGTGGAGATGGGCAAGAGGGGGGTTGGGTCAGAGACAGAGAGAGATACTTGAGCACACTGACATGAGCTAGTGGCCTCTAGAGAACATGCTGCCAGGGTATAGACCCAAAGGACAGATTAGAACAACATGTGGCAAAGAGAGAAAGAGAGGGCAAGGGAGAGGAAGAGAATCACTACAACTGCCAAGTTTTGCTTACTCAGTAAGAATGCCATCTGCTGTATCTCTTCCTTCTGGGGTCTCCCAGGACACCCGGACTGTCAGCTTATTGGGTTCAGCAATACGTTCCTTCACACTTGGGCACTTGATTGTAGGAGGATCCATATCTGAAAATACAACCAAAGCATCCTCACCATCATCAAGAAATATCTTGTCAAATTGGGGTTTAACACTCAAAGTCTGACATAACAAAACTTTTAGGCACTCCCTATTTTTGACGAGATCATTGACTACATTTCTCCTCCTTCCTTTCATCTTGTCGTCTGTCTCCTGTTTTGAAGACTGAGTACTCACCTGCACAGGATGAGATCTGTAATCACCTGACCTTGCTTTAGCTACAGCTCCTTCCTCCCTGTGCTTCCAGACTCCGCCTGCCGACCTGGCAACACCAGTTACCCAGTGAGGCTAGAAGTCATTCAGCTTTACTGAATCCCTCCTACCTTAAAGGCAGCATCATACAATACTCTAGCCATCATCTAGTTTGATTCAATTCAAGGCAACAAATCTTTCACAAGGGCCTACTTTCTCCAAGGCTTCATTCCAACTGCTGGAGTTGGACATGCAAGAGAATGAGGTGCTCCAGACTTGTCAGAGTTTATATTCTACAAGGTTAATTATGTTGCCACATATGAAATATAACAAGGTAGAAAAGGGCACTTCCCTGGGCAAGGTAAAAGTGAATGCTGTGGAGATATAAAGAAACCACTCAACTCTTTCATTTTACAGTGCAAACTGAGGTTCAGAGAGCTTAGAGAATTTATTTAAAACCATGCATGCATGCATTAATACTGGAAGGCAGTAAAATAAGTACAATGTGTGGGGAGGGATACTTGTGGAAGAGGGGAGGGTGAATGAAGAAGATTAAGGTTAGGGTAGATGGTAGATGGACTTCATATACTTATGCAAAACAGAACAATGAAACCTTTGCAGTTGGTTTAAGTAGGGCGGGGGGGTGGGTTGAGAGGGAGAGACTGGGGGGAGTGATCTAACCAATGTACAATATAAGTCTATTTGGAATTGTCACAGTGAATTCCTCTTGTACAATACATATATCCTAATAAAAAATCTAAAAGAAATATGCATGCAGATAGTGTCAGTATGAATTATAACCAGGGTCAGAGCACATATTGGAGAAAGCTCCCTTTCTTCCTGCTGTCTAGTACCAAAATAATGCTTAATATCTTAAAACAAGTGATGGAATCCATTCTTCCCTCTAACTGCCACTGGACCGCACGTGTGACTTTGTAATCTGGGTCTGCAGTTTTACGTTGACTCTGGCCCTCCCAAGGCCTCCCAACTCCTTCCAAGTAGTCCTGAGGAAGGAGAACAGGGAAGTACAGTTTGATCAGGAGGGGATGGAGACTGACTGGATAAAATAAAGGTCCCATCAAGAACTTGCACCAAGTCCTGCCTAGGACATGTTCCCTTCAGGAAGCATCTGGTTAGGAATATCCTTGGACTCCCTTTCTGTGTCAACTGAGTGGTGGCTACATTATGGTAAAGGAAGATGTTTGCAAAGAGGGTAAGTCCCAGAACTAGCACATGTGCTGAAGGCAGAGGAATCTGTCCTCAGATGACCTTCTCAGACATCCCCTACTTAAAGCTTCATATATAGGGCTGCATCTCATGTATGTAATAACAGAATGCAGTATGAGTAGGGAAATGTGCAGTCAAAAATAAGTTATATAGCATCCTCTTGTCAATCAAAACTGTCAATCATAAGAGGGACCCCTCTCTGAGTCCCCTTTCACTCCCTTCCCATCCCAGCCTTGGCCATAAATTATAACACAAAATAGAGACATTGAGCTTTTCCACTCAGGCCCACTCCTGTCCTCTGTGGGAATATATTTGTGTATTTAATTTTTCTTTTACTTATGTATTTTTACTTTAAATAAATTCACATTTTGCTTGCTACTTCCATATGGTTTGTCTGATTCTTTGATATGCCAAGAAACTAGATCAGTCACAGACCCTGCTCCCTAGACAGTAACAGTTCCTATACCTAGTAGTATAAGTTCTGTCCCCTCACTATCAAGATGGGTTGACAATGATGGCTAGAAATAAATAAGATGCCAATTCTGCTCTGAGTTATATTTCATCTGATCATAGTTAAAGTGAAATCACAAGGGGAAGTTTAACTTTTACAAATTCTACTTCATGATCCTGAGCAGGGAGAGAATGTATTTAAAGACAGCATAGGACAACATTCAACTTTGCACTGCTTTACATATCAACCAATAATTCCCTAAATGCTATTACAATCTGAATGAAAATTAAACGTCCTTTTGATCCTGGATCACAAATGCCCTTGAGAGACTGAATGCATCAAATAAAAATTCCTCAGATACTTTGTCCTGTGTCTTGTCTAATAAAGAACTTCTCAGATTATTTAGTATTTATAAGCAATTGTTAAAAAGTTTTACCTTTATCTTTCCATATTCATTTTCATTCTATGTCATGCTTGAAATGGAATGTGAATTTACAGCCTCAATACACTACTTCTAAATTGAATAACTATCATACCTTAGTGACTCTTAAGTCACTGATTATGAGATGCATTCCAGTATTAAAATGTGAAAAAATATCCCTCTTAGAATTGATAGAATAAAGTGTATAAATGTTATGATGACAGAGTGACAACCTGTTTTAAAAAAAAAGTGTCATGAAATGGAAGATGCTTTAAATGTATTCAAAGTGTCTATTTTCAGTTAAGTTTTCTAAAACTTCGATTTTTTTATGAGAGGTGATAGAAAGCATAATTTCATAATTCAGATGAACATTTCACAGTTTTGGGTGAATTAGAAAGACAAGTAAACAATGCCTGCCACCTTCTGGTCAAGTATAGCTGGCATAGAAATAAGGGCAAAATAGTTTCTGCTGGGTATTGAGGGGGTGGGGGGGGAGGGAGGGGCCAG